GTTGAACTGCCTGAACTGTTGCCAGACACACAAAATCTCGTCATTGGCGCAGATTGGAACACAATCCTAAATTTCGGTTTAGATTCGCCAACAGTGTCAAATCTGCGCAGAGATTCCATGTCGCTTCATGAATTTATGGAAACTAATGATCTAACTGGCGCCTATAAAATTCTGAGCCCGGAGCTTCCTGGGTATACCTAGTTTGGCTCCTCAAGTGGAGCCTTGTCTACCCGCTGACTTGACTATGTCTTGATGCGGGGAACCCCATGGGATGGTTGTCTGTCAGCGGAGGTTAGAGCCTCATCCTTGTCGGATCACTCACCGGTCCGCTTTGAAGTACAGCTGGGGGGTGAAATAGACAGAGAGCAGGGCCTCTTTTGTTTAAATATCACTCATTTGGAGGACGATGCCTTGAAGGAATGGCTGAACCGAATAATTTCAAACTGGAAAAAAAATATTTCACCTCTACTCTAATCTCCAACAGTGGTACGATGGGGTTATGGCAGCAATTCAAGAAGCATGTAGTACTAACTCTAGAACCAAGAGCGGTAAACAGAACAAACAGATTAGACAATGGCAGACAGGTATATTGACAGCAGAACAACAGTTAGGCATACATCCTATCTCCGATTTGTATTGGACGCAGAAGCGCTCTGCAACCCTGTCAAACTTGAAAACACATTAAATTAAGATTGAGGAACAGCGAAAAAAATGGTTGCGAATCAAGGGTTACCCACTATGACCGTATGACGAAAGAGACATTCCAAGTGTTAATGAAATATGTGGCTAGACCTCTGATGAAGGAATTGGACCACCTCTTTTCCCTGACTGCACCCGAAGCAGAGAGCTTTATTCAAATGTGTCAATACGCAAGGGAGTACTTTAGTGATATTTTGACTACCCGTCGGCCTTTTGACCAATCGGACACAGATTTGAGAGAATTCTCTGATTTTTTGAAATTCTCTAAAAAAACACTTCCTTTGCATGCTGCACTAGATTTGGATCGACCTCTAACAATGGATGAACTTGAAACTGCAACTCATGTGATGGCCAATGGTAAAGTCCCTGGGCCAGACGGACTGCCGATTCAATTTATTATTGTCTTTTGGGACTTTTCTGGCCCACTGCTAACGGACCTGTTTAACAAAGTTTTGGTTGGGGAGTTGCTCCTTAGCTCTATGGTCGAAGGAGTCATATCACTTCTTTACAAAAAAGGAAGTAAAAAGGAAATTCGGAATTGGAGGCCTATATTACTACTAAATGCAACTTACAAACTTTTGGCAAAAGCTATTGCCCTACGTCTGGCTAAATATTTACCCCTGTTGGCAAGACAGGAACAAGGGGTTTTTGTCAAGGGCCGGTAGATTCGTGATAATATCATCACAATTCTCCAAGCTATTGAAATTATAGTTAAAGAAAGAAGGGATGTCACGATTATTTTATTAAATATGCAAAAAACATATGGTAAAGTAGGCTGGACCTTTGTCCATACCACTTTGAAGCATATGCACTTTGGTCCAAACGTCTGTTCATGGGTACGAGCCATGTACTCTAAAGCATCTACCAAGGTCTTGGTGAATGGGCATTGCTCTGATTCCTTCCGCTTGTCTCGCTCGCTACGATAAAGCTGCCCTCTGGCTCCCCTGCTCTTTGTGGTTCATCTAGAGGTTTTGCTTGATAACATTCGACATAACCCATAAATATCGGGCCTCAAAATTTATAGGGGTATCAAGTGGAAAGTAGGGTTCATTGCAGACGACCTCACGGTCTGCGCAGAAAACAATCCACAAGTGCTCGCCGAGGTGCAGAGCATACTAACAAAATACTGTGAGTTAGCCAAAGCCTCAGTGAACTGGTCAAAATCCTTTTGTTTATTGCCTAATCCTTATCACCTGTGTGTGGACTGGGGCATGAGGAGTGTCCCAGGCATTTCCTCAGAACAATTATTGGGGATACAGTTCTCTACGTCAAATTGTGCAACCTTTCAAGATCAGTTGGTGGTGGAAAAAGTGATAACACGTATCTCCAAATGGAACAAGTTTTTTCCGTCATCTCTTTTCGGTACATCTCTTCTGTTATCAGCCGCTGCTTTTTCGATATTATGGTACGTACTAGCAGTGCACCTCTTAGGGGAAAAAACCTAAATGGGTATTAAGACCAAGGCCAGGAGACTGGTTTGGAAACCGTCTGCGCTGGAAGATCAAGGTTACCTCTCGAAAGTAGCCTGGGATGTAGTGACCTTCCCTTGGAATGAGGGAGGTTTGGGTATCTTGGATCCTAAAAGGCAAAATCTTGCTTTGCTAGCCAGATGGCCAATTCGGGTGATGGTGGAAACTGAGGATAAGCACTGAATAGCGTTGGGATAATATATCCTCAGCAAAGAATGAGATTTGTGTAACCCATCTGATGTATGGAACTGTTTTATGTTGAACTCCTATTCCAACAGGCGTCCGAATTCGAACTTCTGGAAAACAGTTTTGACAGCGTGGAAAAAACTCAGACCGACAGTGCATCATGAGCCTACTTCCATGGCTGAGGTCTTAGAAGAACTCTTGTTTGAGAACCAGTACATCGTGGATGCACAATGGGAACCCTTCTCAGCAACAAACGAGCCACGGAGCTTCGGGAGATGTTGGATTGAAAGGGGAATATGCCGGGTAAAGGACATCAGGAAGACAGATAATTCAGATTGACTTACAGAAAGGGATATGAGGACACGCTACCCGTACCTTAGAGAGACAGGGTCGAGGCTGCGAGTTTTATGTGCATCAATTCCATCCCACTGGAACCTAATGCTGAAATCATAATTGAGCCCGACAGAGGATAGATGGTACAAAAGTGAGTAGAGTCAGTCAGTTCATACTTTTTTCAGATTGGTAGAGGGGGCTCAAGGAAATCCTCCATTACTGCAAACTTGGGTATCAGAGGCGAGCTGGGAAGAAAAACTCCCTTTTAGGTTCGAGTCAGAAGCCCCAACCACGGAGCTACTAGAGTTAAAACAATGTAGAGTACTGATGAATGTTGACAAATATAGGATACCTCACCCGCGGGTGAAATTCAGAGGTTATACTTTGTCATCTCTCAAGGTGGACTCCACTCGATGGAGCTGGAGTCTAATGACTCATGACCATAGATCTGAAGTCCCTATGTATCTCTACACAACTAAGATTGGCACCAGATTGTTGAGGGATAGGGTACCCCTGTCTCCCTATGAGCTCGTTAAGAAGCACATACAACAACTAGGCTTGGCGGACTATGATAAGGCGACCCGGGAGAAGCACTGGCAGCTGCTGATGAAACTTCCGTCGGAAAGACTAGGGAGCTTGTTGAGGCAACAATCTATGCTGGCTATTCCAACAACAACCTTTTTGGCAAGCAGGGGAATGGATATTACAACAACTTGCCCTAGATGCCAGTGGGCATGGGAAACAAATCGACATTTATGGGTGGACTGTCCTCACTCCAAAAGAATTTGGTTATGGTGGAGAAGACATTGGGCAAAACTGCCATGGTCCTCATTCAGCTGGAGTGAAGAGTTTATCCTAACTGGCATTGCAGTGCTGCAGGACAAAAATGAGAACACTTCCTGTTATGTGGCACAAACCTTCTGAGCCATCATTATGTCAACTATCTGGCACGGAAGGAACTCTCATGCCTTCAGGCAAGAACGATGCGAGGATATCCAACTGAAAGTCAGGATAAGATCCTTTGGAAGACAATGTATTTGGTCGGATTGGTATCGAAAAGCAAAGAGAGGACGGGTCAGAAAAGAGACTACCTGGTTCTGGAAAACGTGGGGAAAAAACAGTAGTTTGGTGAAGCCGTGCTCGAATGGTGGTTTGACTCTTTCCTCTTGGCTAACGAATATGTCGATTTAGACTGTCTGTTTTCAATAGTATATTGTGGTTTCAGGCCGGTTTAGGCCATCCTTTGTAGAATGGATGAGATAGTCACTATAGATTAGCTTGTCTTTTATCCTTTACACCGGTCGAGAGGCAGCAAGGCAAGTATCTTAACTTGACCACCCTTTTTACTGAGCTTCAAGGTAATATCCTTTTCTTTTGAGAAGTTTTTTCAAGTAGGAGTTCGGCTGAGATTGATGCGTAGGAGAGCAGAATGAGGGGGACGCTAATGGTTAAATGAATAAAATTTGTGTATTTTGACAGGACCCGTTTTCCAGCAGTGATTCGGGTGGTACTTCCGGGTCGAATTGTGAGGTCCCCGGCCTCAAACTTTTATGGAATATTAAGAGGTAACTTCTCAAAAAAAAAATAAAAAAAATCAAAGAAGATGGCAAGCTCAAATCGGGGACTCATGAGCCGGGTCTGCCAGGCGTTACATACTACTGATCAAAAGAGGTGGGATCAGACCCTTAGAGTTGTCCCCCAACCACAGCAGCAAACAAACTGTGGGTTGCCGTCACGGTAAGTCAATGAAATGAATAGCTCTGGGGCGCCCTTAGGCCAACATGCATCCCCTAACGGCGCGGTGTGAGCCCGATTCAGCGAAGCACCGGGCCTGGAGGGAAACAACCACGAGGCTCGGTCAAACGCTTGCGTGGGATCCTATGCTAAGGTGAGGATTTCTTTTCGGGGTGTGCCTGTGAGGAACTCCCGGCCTCATGTTTTGTATGACAATGGATGATAATGGATGCCACAACAACTGAGGCCGGGAATGAGTAAAATACTAAAATACTATTCAGTTCTATGATCATAAAAATCTCAAGGCCGTCGCCCTTGCAAAAAAGAAGAGATAATGGATTCCTCTCCCCAGAATCCCAGATTAAAGAAGAAGAAAAGGTTTCATTGATTTCTGCACCCCGCCCCCCACCGGCAAAGAACCCACCGTCGATGTCCGGAAAGTTCCTCGCTAACTGGCCGTGCGGACATCAACCTGCTTTTCCGTCCCGTGTGACCCGCCCCCAGCATTTTAGGAGATTCTGAACTTTCCAGAAAGTTATGTGGGGTCAGACAGACTCTTATACCGCCGCCACGATCTCAACCATACATGATTCGCGTCCGCTCTTGCACCACCACGTCCACGCTGCGCCACCACGCTGGGTGGTATATCAGTTTGTCTCATTTTGCCGCATTTAGTTGTTGTCTGTTGAAGTTTCCCTGTCTACGTTGTTTCGAGAAGCTCGGCCCAGTCTCGTCTGCGTAGTAGCTGGCAACTCCGCTGTTCTCGGAGGCTGCAGTCGCGAACTCCCCGCTTCAGTGAGGGCGAACATGGCTGCTGTCGCAGTTACCTCCGCGTCCTCGTCGGCTGTGAAGGCCGTAGCGGCGGCCATTGCATCGCCCAAGAATCCTTCCTCTCATAAGGCCGGAGGAAGCAGCGTGTCCTTCCCCGGCACTTGCGGCGGACATTCCCTGTGCCACCGCTCGAGATCCCGGAGCTGTTCCAGATGGTCATTCGCTGTCCGTGCCGCCACAACAATAACTAAGGTATGTGATTGCGATTGCAATTTTCTTCTTCGATCAAGTGCTTGTGGGTTCAAATGCGTGAGGGGGAGAGACGGGTGACAGAGAAGGAGAGCATGTGGGGTGGGAGGGGGTGAAGGCGCGTGGGGGAGAGGATGGGACGGCGCGCGGGTGAGAGGGAGAGAGAGAGGCGCGTGTAAGGGTTGGGAAGGTGGTGCTCATTGTATGGCCGGGGGGAGTATGAGAGAGGTGGTGGGTATGGAATGAAGAAGAGTTTCGGTATGGAAGAGGGTGATGGCAAGGGAAGGAAGATAAATGAGGGAAACAGTTTTCGGCAGGTCGGTGAGGGAAGACCGGAAGGTCGAGGGGGAAGTATGTGTGCGTGCAGTCCGTGTGTGTTTTAGATTGTCATGACAACAGGCCCTGTTCCGCCTAGATGAGTAGATTCAAAACCGGAGGCTCTTAATGAATCATTGCAGATAATGAATCACACTTGAGATGAGCCAATTCAACCGTGAAACGCAATAGATCCGTTATAGTAAGCACCGTGAAGCAGAATAGATCCGTCATATCGTTCTTGAATGTCCTGACTTTGGCTTTCTTCGGGGTATTCTTTTCCTGTGCTTCTCACGTACAAGGCTTGCTACGTTGGTTGTGGTTGAGCATCAGCTGCCCTCATCTCAGTGTCCCGTAACGGCACACTTGCATGCTATGAAAGGAGGCAGAGTTAAGGGGAAGGTACACGCCTGTTCATTTCTCTTCAGATTTTCAGCTGTATGTTTTGTTCTCTTAATTACGCTCATTCGTATGCATTTACACTAGGGGAGGGAGGAAGGAAAGGGGTAGGAGGCGGAGTTCTATAGGAAGCGAAGGGCGGGGGAGGGAGATGGGCCAGAGGAGGGAAGTGGAGTGGCAAAGAACAGAACAGAGGAATGTGGAACTTCACTGTCTGTGTGTGTGTGTGTGTGTGTGTGTGTGTGTGTGTGTGTGTGTGTGTGTGTGTGTGATGCTGTCGAGCTGCGAATGGTTTGTTATGATCGCTTTCTTTTGCAGGCAAGGGTGTTTTCATATCCTGGTTGATCTTGTCCCGTTGTTTGGCCTCGTAGGGGGCGGTGCTTGCATGTGGGACTTGTCATCTAGGATCTGTTTATGCTTGTTTCCCCCTGTTTTGTTATATCCGGCTTTTCCCTTCCTCTTTCTTTGCCTCTTCGCCTTTTGTCTGTGTGCAAGTGGCTCGATATGACCCACAGGGGTGGAGGCAGCCACCGCTCAACCTACATCCACGTGCGCGCCCTTGTACGCAAGAGATCCTGAATAGTTGTAAGGAAGAAGATAACAAACGAATTGATTGGTTTTGTTTTCCTTGTCTTTTTCGTCTTTGCGTTCTGATCTCTGTGGCGATATATCCAGTTTGTCACAGCCCCTCGTTTGCTGTCGTCTTCTCCCTCTCCGCCTACAGTTTGCTTGGCAGCTCTGTTTGACTATATAAATTTTCTTTCTGTTTTTTTCGCTTTTGCGCTCCGATATTCATGTGACGATACCCCTGTTCTGTATTATTTGGCTGTTCCCTTCCTCTTTTCTTTGCCTCTTTGCCTTCTGGCTGTGTGCAAGTGGGTCGATATGACACGCGGGGGTGGGGGCAGCCGCCGCTCAACTTACATCCACGTGGGCGGCCTTGTACGCAAGAGGTTTTAAACAGGGAGTTTTAAGGAATAAATAAAAAACGAATTCATTCTTTTTTCCCTTTTTTTTTTTTTTTTCGCTTTTGCGCTCTCATACTCATGTGATGATATGTGCGAAAACGAAATCTGTTCGGTCTCCTAGATCGTGGGTGGATACGGGGCGTATGTTTCATCGGGCGGTCGATCCGCTGGCCTTGCCTCCAACGCCCGGTAGGTGGATTTGGTGCAACTTCCAGTCTAGATACAGCTGAAGATGGTAGTCATCTGCCACTTCGATGTTTCAGTAGTGTATACTGATGCCTTTCTCGGCATTAGCGGGTGGAATTTGCGCCGGATTATGGTTTCCATCCGTCATGTTTTGGCGTCGATCTCTTAAGTGCTTTTATCTGTGTGCTCATGTTCTTATGAGTTTGTTACCCAAGTGTCACACTGTCCACGGTTTGGGAGGTGGAGGGCGTTCTTCACGTGGTGGCGGTCGGCGAACCAGCTGGGAATGGTGGCGAAACATGTCTCATGGTCGGTATCCATGTAGGTATAGCTTGCCTTGACTTGCCTTTGCTTTCTATGGCGTATTTACTCCGCATTGGTTGGGCGTTTGTTTATCTTTTTGGGCAGTTCAAGACGTTGACGCCTATGGGAGATCGCATCCTTGTGAAGGTGAAGTCAGCAGAGGAGAAATCGATTGGCGGGATCTTGCTCCCAACGTCGGTACAGTCGAAACCTACCGGCGGCGAGGTTGTTGCGGTCGGAGATGGGCGGCTAGTAGGCGACAAGAAAGTGGCCGTCAGTATCGAGGTGAGGGAAATATGATGACGGATGGTCCATTGTAGGCGCCCTTGTCTTGTCGTATTAGGTCTTTTCTTGTCAGTCCTTCCTCTTTGTGGGGGTCACTGTTGTTTGTCATTCTCTCCTCTGTTGTTGTTGTTTCTGTTTTTCGGAGTCTTACCGAGTCGTTCTGCTTCTTCTCTCTTGTTGTTGCTGCTGCAAGCTGTCACTCTGCGTCTGTTTGGTGAGGACTGAGAATTTGTTGCGTGAGATTGTTTTTTTTCTGAATTGTAAAAATGGTTCAATTATGTTTTCTTGGGTATCATCGTCAGTTATGTAAAGTTTATAATTGGGATAACGGTGAACAATAGCTGCTAACCTGTCTTCTTGTCGTTTAGCCGGAAGATTAGCGGAAACATCGATGGATGGAGATGGGAGCATTTGTCTGCGATGTCCTTTCTTTTTGGTCTGCGCCTCTCGGACGCGGCCGTCAGGGTTGAGGGCTTGTTCGGGTCTCGCTCTCATTACGGCAAAGCCATTGACATCCGTTCGGGTAGACGATCGTCCCCACGTCCTGCTTTTTTTTCGCTCCCCATTATCGTTCCCTCCTGTCTTTTTTCTGGGCTCGCTCTCGCTGGGATTCTGTAGGGGCGGTGGATATCGTTAGTCTCAGAAAGCCTGGGTCTGTCAAGGTGGCAGAAAATATTAGATGCGCCTAAGGGGATACTCGCACTTGGACGTTGTCCACTTCTCTGTGGACGTAGTTGCGGTCAGGTGCACCCAGACCTGGTCGGGAAAGTGGTCATATACATCCAGGGAAGTCCTAGTGGGAGTGTGCCCTAAGGACTTGAAAAGTCGCTTGCAAGTGAAGGGGGAAAGCGAGTTTTTGCGGGGCGCGGAACTTTTGAAGATAATGTCAAGCGGATATATCTGATTGTATTCGAGATTCAGGTCAAATGCATCATCGGGGGTAATGACTGGAATCGGGCGTGTCTTGTCCCGTAGCGGAAGATAGGTCAGTGCGTAGCTCGCCTGTCTTTCAGTTGGCCTTCGGTTTGAGAGGGAGGATTGTTATGTTGTATTTGGCATATAGACCCTCTCGTACCAGGCGCGCGTGGAGGAACGTTTGGTTTTGTGCTGGTCGAGCGAAAAGAGGGACAGCGGTGATCATTGTCCCTGCGTCTTCTTTGGCTGCACTGTAGTTCCTCCTGAGAAGGAAGGGTTGTTCATGTGGGGCGAATAGAAGGATGTTGGCGAACATTGTGCCTGGGGGTACGTTGCATTTATTTTACTTTATTCTGAGAAGATAGTATGCGAGTTTTGTGCGTGCGTTCGTGTGTGTGTGTGTGTCTGTGTGTGTGTGAGAGAGAGAGAGAGAGAGGGAGGGGGGAAAAGGGCTGGTTAGGGGAAGCGTGTGGCAGGGGGGAAGGTGGCGCAACCTTTTTCTTAGTTTTCTTTCTTTTTTCGGTTTGTTTTGTGCGTGCATTTGTGTGCGTGTGTTTCGTCTGTGTGTATATTTGTGTGTGTGTGTATGTGTGTGTGTGTGTATGTGTGCGTGTGTGTGCGTGTTCGTGAGAGAGAGAGAGAGAGAGAGAGAGAGAGATGAGGGGAGGGTTAGGAGAAGGCGTGTGGGGAGGGGGTTAAAGGCATGCCACAACCATGAATGCATCACCCATCATATCTGTTTTTGCGAGTGAAGCAGCAACAGGTCATCTAATGGGGCGAATAGAAGGACGTTGGCGAGCATTGTGCCTGGGAGTACTTTGCATTTATTTTACTTTATTCTGAGAAGATAGTATGCGAGTTTTGTTACCGCTGGACCTGCATCCGTCTCTGTTGAAGGGAAACGATGATAGTATGCGAAGATAGTATGCGAGTTTTGTTACCGCCGCCCTCGCACTTTTTCTTTCTTTGGTTGTATGTATCCTCGCACTTTCCTTTTCGTTTCTCGGTTTGTGCTCTCGCATTAGTTTTCTCTTTTGTGCGACCTCGCACTTTTGTGTTGAAAAAAATCCTCAACTTTGTCTGCTTGCGAGAAGATGATAGGTGGAAACCTACCTGCGTCGCTGCATTGTGGTGATGGGAAACGAAATAAGAGTCTTCCTTGTACCAACGGTCTCTTGTACCGAATATGGATCCAAGTTCGCGTCCAGATGTTGTCAGACGACCGGAATGTATATGTGCCGGGACGAGGAACGAGAAGGTTAATAACAGTTTGGCTTCTCTTGTACCAAATATGGACCCAAGTTTGCATCCAGATATAATCAGACGTCCAGAATGATAGGTGGTAACCTGGGTCACTTCATTGTGGTGATGGGAAACGAAATATGAGGTTTATTGCGGTCGGGTTTCTTGTACAAACGGTCTCCTGTACCAAATATGGACCGAGTTCGAGTTCGCATCCAGATGTAATCAGACGACCAGAAATGTATGTGCAAGGGACGAGGAACGAGAAGGTTAGTAACAGTATGTCTTCTCTTGGTGTTGTGAATTACCGGTGTGCAGTCCGGAACGAATGTGGTGTATGCGAAGTACGCGGGCAGCGAGGTAGAATTCAACGGCCAGGATCATGTCCTCGTCAAGGAGGACGAGGTTGTCGGCGTGATGGTCTCCGATGACGTCAAAGACATGAAGCCCCTCGGGGACAGGGTTTTGATCAAGGTATGTTAAACAAATACGTGTGCTTCATTCGCGTTTTCAGCGCGCGCGCGCGGGCGTGCGTGTCTGTGTTCCCGCGCGTGTATGCGCTTGTGTGCGTAGCCATTGAGCTTGTTTGGCATTACCGACAACGAACTCCCAGGGACGACAATTGGGGTAAAGAAACGTAAGGTATCTGTCTCTGTGTTTGTCTCTGTGTGTGTGTGTGTGTGTGTGTGAGAGAGAGAGAGAGAGAGAGCTGGGGTTGTTTGGCGTGGTCCGATTTACAGGCAATGCCTCTTCGGGGTCTGTAATGTTGTTTATTTCGCATGGAGTGATGTAATGATAGACGGTGAGCTGGTGCGGGTCTCGCTGGTGCAGCTTTGTTGCGGGGAAGTGTGGGCTGCGATAACCTTTTCTCCTCTGTGCATCGGGATAGCTGCCCTTTTGTGTCTATCTAATTATGTATGTGCTGTTATTTGATAAAACATTTTCTTCTCGTCTCGATTTCACGTTTCAATCTTTATTGCCGGTTTCTTTCTTGTTGCTGCGTAGTTTGGCCGTGATTACATGTTGTTCTCCTCTGCCCTTTGGGTTAGCTGCCGTTTTGTGTTCGTTTATTGATGGTTCTTTGACGAAAACAATTCGTTTGGTATGCTTGCGCTTTCTTAAAGCTTGCGGAGGCTGAAGAGAAGACCGCTGGCGGAGTGTTGTTGACGGAAAGCACCAAGGAGAAGCCGTCTATTGGAAAGGTGAGGGAGCCTCGTTGATCTGGCGGCCTCAATTTTCCGTTGTGTTCAGCTGTTGGTCCGGAGCAGAGATGGTCCTTATATGATGGAGTGCATTTTTTTTTTTGCGAAGACGTGGAGTGCATCCGACCAACTGAATGATTGCGTTGGATGAATTCAATGAATCTGTTACGAATGCGCTGAATGATTTCAAAGTATCTGTTATGAATGAATGAACGAATGCGTTGAATGCAGTCAATGCATCTGTAATGAACAAACGAATGCAGTCGATACATCTGTCAAGAACAAAGGTGGTGGGCAGGGACATTGCGTAAGACATTCATCCCATGCTATCGGCTGGGATGTCTGGGCCATCACTGCCATTCGGATTGGGGACGGATCTGTCCGGCACGGCAGGAAACAATCAGTTTCTGAAAGAAAAAAAGATCCTACGTTTGAAAGAATGGAGTTTGTAGAGGAGAGCGAAACGAAGAACTTCTGCCTCATCCCAAAGTTATAAAATAAGTCCGACGTGTAAAGGTTATAATATAAATTGTCTACCACGCGGGCACGGGGAATGCGGCCCTCAGGTAGCCAAAGCAATGAGACTAAGAGCGCTCACAACAGAGAGAGAGAGAGAGGGAGAGTTTTGTTCCATTTGTTGTTACGAGTGTGTGTGTGTGTGAGAGAGAGTTCTGTTCCATTTGTTGATATGAATGAGAGAGAGATATAGAGAGAGAGGGAGGGTGTGGGGACTACCACAGAGTGAGAGAGAAAGAGATATAGAGAGGGAGGGGGTGGGGACTACAACATAGAGAGAGAGAGAGAGAGAGAGAGAGAGAGAGGCGGAATGGCAAAATTGAAATATGCTCACAGAATGATTTTTTAAAATTTTTCTAGCGTTTTTCCTGGAAAGATCACAACAGAATCTATGAGCACTTCAATTTTTAGGTTTTTTCACCTTCTGAGCTTGAAAACTCACATGTCGAGTACTTCTTCTGTTGGCCCACACATGGCTGAGTGGCGAAAATGGGAATTGTGCCGAATTGACGCTACAATTATTTTGCGGTCTAAATGATGTTTTGAAAATGTTCTTAATATATTACACGACCTCGTCTATATGGATTCTCAGGATTTTCAGATTTTTCTGCGGGTTCTTCCGAGCACAGAAAATCGCCAAAGTTGCCTCTTGCAAAACGCCTGTTTCGTTGCGCCTGACTACCCTGTTTTAAGAAGATGGGCCTGAGGGCCCTTTTGCAGTTTACATGTCGTCACTTCTTTTTGGGGTCCTCCTGAGGACCAGTCCACCCCCCCCCCTTCCACCGGACGACCGGGCCTTCTTTTTCCGAAAGTCTTGGTTCTATCAGAGCTAGCTGTAGGTAGTCCGCAATTTTGCTAAGGATCGGTTCCCCAATTTTTTTTGGCCCTTAAGAACCCACTTTGCGTCCTGGTCGCCCGCCACCAAGAATGCGACACCTTGACACTGACGTCGAAGCCCACTATACCGCAGCCTTAGGGCTGCGAACATTTTTCGTCAAACTCAAAAAAATAGTTTGGACTCGTGTCCGGATCTATCATGCCTATTTGGGGAAATCGGGACATCTGATAGGCTGGGATGTATTCTATGTATCAATGTCCTGAATGGACGTTGAGGGTGAAGCTGATGGGCAGGATGTATTCTATGTATCAATGTCCTGAATGGACGTTGAGGGTGAAGCTGATGGGCAGGAGTGGGTAATCCTGGGCTGTATTAAAACAAGTGCACGTTGGGCAATGTCTTAGGAAACGTCCTTGCAGAGGATAATGCTAGGGGTATACACCATTTCAGAGGATAATGGTTGTTTTCTGGCTAGTGATGGCTGGTTCTGAAGTATTTGTTGCTGCTGTTGTTGAACCTGAGGGGCGTTTAGTGTCTTCAACACGCCTTGCTGATGGCGATCTTTGTCGTGGGCATGGACGTGATATTGGTGGTTGTATTAATCTGAAGTTGTGGTTCTTGCGGTTTGGAAGTGGAATGGTGAAGATGTCAAGCGTATTGGGATCTGCGGGGTAGGGGGTGAGGTGAAGGGGCGGAGGGGCTTATCATTATGCTAGTGTAGTCGTGAAACAGTTTAACTGTGGTGGGCATCTGTGTGGGTAATGTGTGTGTGTGTGTGTGTGTGTGAGAGAGAGAGAGAGAGAGAGAGAGAGAGTTTACCTGCATGCAGATGAGATGTCATTGGCAGTCTCCCGACTTCGAGAAGGCTGTTGGCTTGGCAGTCTTTTCTTACTGTTTGGAGTGGTCTGCCGTTGCTGTGCAGGTTGTTGCTGTTGGGCCGGGTCAGATTGCTGAGGACGGCAGCCGAAGACCTCTTGATGTTGGTGTCGGTGATAATGTGATGTACTCGAAGTATGCTGGTCAAGAGTACAAGAGTGCTGATGGCACGCAGTATGTAGTTGTCAGAGCCGGTGACATCATGGCGTTAATGTCCTGAGGCTTTGGGTCGCCGACAGTTTTTCCTTTTTGCTTTTGTCGAGTTGTGTCCGACCATCCTCTTCCTCTCTTCCTCTGTTGATGATGAATCAACGAAGCTCTCGTGCGGCTGTAGTGTAGCATATTGGGGGATGCGCTTTTGTTGGTCGTTGTTGGGCCGCAGCCTTCCTCCGTCAGGAGTTCTAAATGTACCACCTGTCATGGTTGGTGATCAACCATTCTTCTGTCCGACGTGTAGTTGACATTAAGGAAGCTGATTTCGAGTTCCAATTTGTTGAATGCCAGCAGGCTGAGTATTTTGTATATGACAACGAGATTGAGATAAAAGGGACCGTTGCTTTGTTGTGAACTTGTTGGTCGTATTCCCTCATTAGTCTGGCGGGGCGGAACCTGTGGAATGAGGGTGGATGATGGTACATTCCTGTGGGTACCACATGCTCTGTGTTCGTGTGGTGGCCATGTCCTCTTTACTCTCTCATTGCTGTCTGTTTCTGGGCCTCAGAGGCAGACAGTGTTGGTCAGTATACGGAGAGAGTGTGATCTTTGTCAAACCTCGGAGGCTCGGGGGTCAGTAGTCTTTTGGTGTGTTCAACCCCAAAACAGCTCAATCTAGTACGAATTTCAAGTCGAGGCTGGGGACCTCACAATTCGACCTGGATTACTGACGGCATCCAAAAATCAGCCAGCGTAGCACAGGCTCTTGCCTGTAGAAAATCCTTGCTTCGACTTTCCAGAATTCCAAAGATCAAATAAAGCCTGGAGTGAAGATTTACTGGAAGCAACATCTAGCTTAACATTCAGACCTTGCCTGCTTTCGGTACCGACGAGCACTAATGCTTCCCAACTTGAAGATATTGTTGATCATTTCGGTATTGTATAACAGTATGCATCCAAAGTACGAGGTCGGTAGACAATGGTAAGCTAAAGAAACCAACTATATGCGCAGTTACTTCGGGGACTAACTCGGCCCAGAGGACCTAGTCCACAGCGGCGTTACCAATCGAGTGTCCTGGTTGAAGCGATTGAAGCGGGACCTGTGAGATGATCGCCCTTGCCACCTGTGCCACATAAGCCCAACCCCTCTTGCCAGTGCTCCCCTCTAGTGGGAATCTGAGGAGAACCCATCGCTCTTCCCACTGTACACCCTTGCCTCCGATCAGTTGCCGATGGTACTCCCACCACTTCTATGCTTGCCGCGATGCTGGCAGTCCCACCAGAGGTGTCTGGTGGATTCAGAGGGCCATTTACATCGAGATCAACCCAGGCTCACGATCACATCTCTTCCATTGCTGAACTGCTGAGGGAGCGACCAGTAAAACTTTCATAAGATTGAGGTGTGCTTGAGATGTGGGAGCACCTGTAAGACACCCCACCACAGCTTCCTGAAAGCTCTGGTCGCGTTCTGCGAATCAATCATCAGCACTGAACCTTACTTGCAGATGGACACAGGTATGAGCCTACAGTCTTCTCCCGAATACAACGTACTGTCATCATAGCTGAATTTGGGGCATCTTTCAGTCTAAATTCGGCTATAATGACCTTGTATTCGGGGGAAGACTGTAGGCGAGTGATATAGTTCCCCTACCGATGGGTTGGACAGATTCAGGCCCTCCCTGCGGGGAGGAGGCAGAGATTGCTCCTCGCTGCGAACGCCATTGCACAGGGTTGATTGATTGTCAACTCCCTCAGCGCGGAGGTTTACCTACGCAATGGTTGCATCTATGTTTTCCTTTGCCGTCGATCCATTCCATCACCCTAGACTAAGGGGGGTCGTCCCATCTCATGATTACCTCTACTCTGAGATGAAGCCTGTTGTTCTGACGGAAAGCTGCCCACACCCGGACCTCCCTAAACCCTTGATAAAGTCAGCTCCACCAGTTTCACAAAGTAGGTGGCCTGGTCGCTTCGGAAGGTACCAGGTATCCAACGGATCCGGGCCCTCAGCACCGACTATGACTTCCACTCCTCAGGAATGGCATTTGGCACTGACTACCAGATCTCTTCGACCTTCCACGGAGTCTGCAGTGCGGTGAGCAGTTCACTGAGAGAGCGCAATGTGTCCATGACTGTAGACCACAGACGTGCTATGTGAGAGACTCCCCTGCGCACCCAGGCTCTCCCGAAAGTGCCTGGTTCTGGGCCTGCAGAGAAGGGACGGCCGTGTTCGTTCAGCAGGAAGGGGTTCTTTGAAGGGACCTTGTCTTAGCATCCCCCTCCATTGCTGGTGGGAGAGACATCCATGCTCTCCGAACAGCATCCAGAACTTGCATTTCAATACACATCTTCTGGCCTACTCGGCTGCCACTCTCGCATGAAAACGATTTCAGCCAGTTAATTCCAATCCGCTTCGACTTCGGCCATTGCCACTAAAAACTAGTGTACGTTGCTCCGCTTGGTTCTTCCGAAGGAAGGGGGTCCGTAAGTCCTGAGCTGCCTTTCTCGTTGGGAAGGTAACCAGTTTCCATGCCACCTTATTGATGAACCCTTCTTCCAGTTTACCTCGAGGCTTCCACCAGAATTCCGCAGCCTGTTTCATCATTCTGCAAGCATGCAAAGGAAAAATCCCTCACGGTACCCACATACCATAGGAGGGAGAACGAGGCCACCTTAATGACCATGGCTCCCTGCTGAACAAGAAGAGGTGCAATGCCGACCCCCACACGCGTAACTTAGCTGTGATGCTTTGCTGGAGAACCAAGTCTTCCACAGAAGACATGATTTGCAGACTCACCAGCACTCCCAAAAAGCATTCCCCAGATCTCGAGTCCACCCGCTGTTACCCAACTCAACTCTCAGGGGGACTCTCAGGGAGAATTGCTGTGGGAGGAGGTAGATCCACTTGTTTCAGTTGTTGACTAGGGCTTCGGACAGTCGGGATTAACAAAGGCGAGCGTTCGAGGAGGCTGGTGAGTTTTCTGCAACTGCGAAGAGGTCATCTTTCAGGACCTTCTCTCGACAATCTCTTCCCTCTGTCGACTGGATACCACGGATATCTGGATGTTTCCAGAAGCAGTTCATTGGTACTGCCAGCTGTAGAAGAAACAGCACTGTGGCCAGGGGACAGCCCTGGCGGACGGACTTGGTCCGGAAGTAGTGGGGCATATGACCGCTGACAAGGACTGCAGAAGTAGATGCAGTGTACATGGCGATCACCCTACGACACCTAAAACCCATTCTCCTCAGGGTATGCCCCTCTGAGATAGCGGTGGGGAAGGTGGGACTGTCCGAAGTTGGGGCTGTTATGGCTGCCTCTCGGTAATCCATATCGGCGGAGGCAGCTTCAGGACAGGGTGGAAAGGAGGGGAGGGGAAGATTAACCGTAGGTGTAACATTATCATCATCCATGTTATATCATGCATCCTGGTTTTCTGAAATGCTGGGCGGCATCTGGCGTACCTCCTCATTCAGGATATAGATTTCAGAGATGATTGAATCAGTACGATATCTGCAGAGTTGCCTTGTTCTGTGCCCCTGGTTCGTCGATGCCAGGACGATGCTGGCCGGAGCGGGGCGTTGCCCTGTAACCTGCTTTGGCAGGGGTACGAGGCTTTGTAGAGAGATCTGGGGTTTTGCTGAGGGAGGAAGGCAATCCAAGTGACGAACTGGGGGGGCTGCCTTGACGACCTATGGGGCTAGGAATAGTCTAGATGGCGAGAACAGGTCAGCTATGGCTGACAGTGGTTAGGAGGGCATAGTCTCCGAGATGTAAGGTCTTGGCATAGGGAGGGCTAGGAGGTGCTCTAGGAGTAGGAGGCCAGTGGTGCTGGTATAGCATAGTCTTCTAATGTTTTACCGTAATCATCATCAGCGTAATCATCTTCATCATCATCATCATCATTAGTTTCAGTATCTCATCATTGTCATTTTAAGCTTTCTGGTGTTCTGGAATTTTTGGACAGCATCTAGTTTTCTTCCACATCCCGGATATAGGATTTCAGAGATGGTCGAACCCGGACCGATATCTGCAGAGTTGGTTCTTTTCTGTCCCCCTGTTTTGCCGACGCCAGAACGATGCTGGCCGGAGCTTGGCCGTTGCCGTGTGACCTGCAAAGGCAGGAGCGTGAGGCCTTGTAGAGAGATCTGGAGGTTGCCGAGGGAGGAAGGCAATCCACTGGTGAATCGGCGGGGGTTGCTCGGTGGCGAGGAGAGATCAGCTATGGGTGACATTGGTTAGGTTGGTTTTGTCTGGGATTTACAATGTCCTAGTACAGGGAGGGCTAGAAGTTGCTCTGGGATTAGGAGACCAGAATTGTTGACATAGCATAGCTGACTACAATTAATACATTTTTTTTTATCACCATCAGCATCATCATCATTAGTATCATCATCATCATCATCAGGATCATCATCATCATAGTCACCACACGAGGGACGCTGAGCCTGGTTCTCAGCAAGTTCGGTTCGGTTTCTCCGGGCAGACTGAGGGAAAAAAAAAAAAAAAAGGCGCAGCCTACATGATTGTAGGATTTCTCCAAAACTAGCATGAGGGCTGGTACGTCAATTCTCAGCCTGTATCAGTTAAGTGGCGGTTGTTGACAAAAATAGAGACATTGTAACGTCAGTGCATCATACATAGCAAATGGAATTATATGAGAGTCATGGAGCACTATCCTCTCTCTCTCTCTCTCTCTCTCACACACACACACACAAACACAGACACAGACACACACACACACACACACACACACACACACAGAGAGAGAGGCCGGTACTCCAGCTGGGTAGACCTCTGAATTGGGCTTGTTCCTGTACGGCAAGGTTCGTGCGCTTCCACTTACATTGGGGCTGGGGGGTTGGCACAGCCTTGGTGCTTGTCACTGCTGTCTGGTCCAAGTTGCCCTCGATACTGGTAGGGTGATGGTCCTGACTCCTGAGTGCTGGTCACTCTGAGGTAGGATAGTAGGGACATGGGGTGCGCTGAGAGTAACAATGTGGGGATGGGGATGGTAGGCGGCGTATCCTGTTAGGACAACCATTGTCTGCCGCTGCAAAATCATCGTGTAGGTCTGGTCCTTGGCCTCCACAACACGCTGGGCATAAAAAAAGGTAGAAAAAGGACAGGAAGAAAAGGTTCAAGATCATCATAGAAACCAAGAATAGGAAGAGGCAAATAAGACCAGGTACATATAAGCCAGTCTCTCAAAAGGACCACCAGAGAAATTCTGGAAAGCCTGGACTTGATACAAATTAGAGAGCTCACGCCTGACCTCCAAAACAACTGCCTGACCTCCAAAACAACTGCAAGAAATAGAACTGCTACTTCTCTTTCAGTCCACCAGCGTAAGTATGAACCCAAAGCTTTTTTCTCTTGGGAAAAAAAAATGTTTCGAAAGGAAAAGTCCGAGAAGAAAGAACAATAACAAGGAAAAAAATTAAAGGAAAAGGAAAAGAAAAAGAAAAGGGAAAATTGATGGAGTGCCTTGAAAGTGCACTTCATCAATTTTCCCTTTCAAGTTGCGTAATTGGGGGTATTTCGCAAAGTCTCGCTACTGCAATTGGGGGTATTTCGTTAGATACTCGTAAGGGAAATGGGTTTGGCGAAATGCCACAATTACAGTAGTGTGAGACTTTGCAAAATACCGTTGTCCCCAATTACGTAACGTGTCTTTGTGTCCTAGTATTTTATGCTTTTGGACCCTGCAGATTGCAAGAGAGAAATGGATGGGCCCCGTACAGCAAAGAAGGGCCAGGGCATATGGCAAAGCTGCCAATGAGCGTGACAGGGGCAGATGCAGAAGGTTGGAGCATTTCCGTGTACCCCTGTGCTTAACGGGTATCTCATGAAATATCCAAACGTTTAGGGGTATTTCAACAATTTTTCCAAAAGAAAAAGGAAAAGGAAGGAAAATGAGAAAGAGAAAAAGAAAACGAAAAGAAACTGCACTAAAGGAGGAGAAAAAGGAAAATACAAGGAGAGGCTTCAACACTCCTTTCAGTCTACTGCCCCTATTCATGCCGTTGCCCCTAACATTCCTAAGCCCCTTTGCAGGATCTCCCGCCTTAAACGACCAGTCCATCACCCCCTGTACTGTCCATTTTTTTTGTCGTCAAGTACCGGACCAAAAGCTACAGTGTTCGGGCGCGGGACAGGCTCGGCTAGCGAGGGCCTCTGGGCCTCAAAAAGTCTTGGGTGGCACTACTGGGTCTCTGGAAAGGGCGGTGCAGCTGCTGGTGGGAATTGTAATGGGCGGGCGGCGCATGTGAAAACACGCCGCCCGCCCATTTGAATCCCTGCCAGCAGTGACCGAAAAAGGGAAGACACTGGCGGGAATTCAGCAGCAGGAAACTCGAAAAAAAAAAAATAAGCAGAACTCAAGTCTTCATGCGAGGGCACTAAGAAATGGGGACCCATACATACCGCTGGCAGCTCACCGTCTCCACCATCTCGGACAGGAGCCAGAACATGGGGAAGAGGGTGAGCATCTCCATCGGCCAGAGGTAGTGCTTTGGCGGCGAAGTGTGATTTTGTGTGTGTGTGTGTGTGTGTGTGTCGCTGTGTGTGCGTGCGTGCCTGTGTGTGTGTGTGTGCGTGAGAGAGAGAGAGTTGGTGGCGGCTTCGGCGGGAAATAGGGGTCAGAGGCAGGCGGGGTGTGTGGGCTCGAGGCCGATCAGGCGGGCATCGAGCGGCATCTTCCGGTGTCGGGCCACCTTGCAAGCGAGAGAGAGAGAGAGAGAGAGAGAGAGTTGTCCGCCTTTGTGCACGTGGCGGCTTCAGGCGGTAATTCGAGGTTGGAGGCAGGCGGTGTGTGTGGGCGCGACAAGAGGCAGGCCGCAACTCTTGTCATCGAGCAGGCGGAATTTGTCTTCCGGCATCGGGCCATCATGTGCGCGTGCACGAGAGAGAGAGAGAGAGAGAGAGAGAGAGAGAGAGAGAGAGA